AGTGTTTTTTATTTTTACTGAGTCTGGGAAAGTTGCCTAAGCCTATAAGATGTAAGGGGAACGAGTGTCTAACCTGGAAACTAGGCTCTTCACTGCCATAGTTTTTGAAAGAAGCAGAGCCTTTGTTCCTATTGTTCAAGAAGGAAGTCTCTTGGGTGGTAATGTTGGTCTTAATGGTGCCGATACCAATCAATAACAACAGTATCAGGGACACATTTCTCATTTGGAGTGACTTGCTTTGATTTTCTTTTCAGTTGTTGTGTCAAAAGGATATTCCTAATTCCATCTTATATTTTCTTTTAAATTTTTTTATGCCAGAACGTACATGCATATATGCAAGAGAGAGAGAGAAAGCACCTGCCAGTGGTGCCTGTTCACGCCCCACTCATGTTTCCTCTAATTCTCCATCTCATCAGGATCTTCGTCATGTACACGTATGCCCAGCATGTAAGCCTCCAGAGCCAGGATGCGGACTCTGGTCGCCGTGTGGGATCTGGCTTCCTCTGCCCAGTGATGAACCGCCAAGTTACATTATACATCTTTAAACCATAAATGTTTTTTTCTCATATTTACCAAAAATTCTGATTTCTAATGTTTGTTACATGTTTACCATTATATTTTATCCAACTTGTTCCAAAGGAAAAAAGTTCACAGTCAAATTGAAATTAATTAATTAGCTTATTAATTAATTAATTTTTTTGGAGAGGTTTTTGCTACAGAGCGCATGCACTCACCAAAAGGAGAGAGAGAGAGAGAGACAGAGAGACAGAAAGCAAGAAATCTACCTCTGGGGGGATGACCATGCTGCAATCTCTTCTCATCCATTCTCCTCTCTGGATCTTGGGCACACACACACATGCACCCGGTGTGAGTTTAAACCACCAGGTCCAGGACTCAAACCGCAGTTGATTACATGGGAGTCTAGCGACGTAGCCATTATGCCAACTGCTGGTTCTGCAATTAACTTATATTTAACAGTAAAATCTGATGTTTTCAAAGTATGTTTGTGAAGAAGGACTTTTTGTAGGTTACTTAGTACAATTTAGGGCCCCCTCATTTTAACCAGTATAACCATCTTTAAAAGACGCAGTTTATTAATAAGTATCAAGAGCCTAAAAACAAGTTGAAAAGTATTTTTACTTTTAGATATCACAAGAAAATCGTGGGTGCATAGGGGCAGGCAGGTGGCATGGTGGTTAAGGATGCTGGATTCCTACACGGCAGACTGCGGTTTGAGTCCTGGACCTGGTGGCTTGCTTTTTTATTTTCCCTTTCTCTCTCTCTGATCAAATTTTTAAAAGTAATAATAACAAATGGAATTAAATAAATAAAATGTGTGCAAAAGACACATATATATATATAGAGAGAGAGAGATAGAGAGATAGACTATATATATATAGAGAGAGAGATAGAGATAGACTATATAGAGAGAGAGATAGATAGATTATATATATATAGAGAGAGAGATAGACTATATATATAGAGAGAGAGAGATTATATATATAGAGAGAGATAGAGATAGACTATATATAGAGAGAAACTTGTATACACAGATACGTATATGTGCATATATACACATACATAAGCTATTCACTATAGTTCTTTTAAGATTGTTTCCAATTTTTTCAATATGTGTTAAAATATAACAGGCTACTTACTTAAACAACAACACAGGTTTGAACTACATGGATCTATTTATATGTAATGATTTTGGTTTTGTTTTATATATGGTTTTTTCCCCCCAACATCAAGCATGTATTAGATAATTTTCAAAATACAAAAATTTTTTAAGTACAATTTATATTTTCTTTATTTTTTAAATTGCTGTGGTCACATGCCATTGCCAGTGAGAGAGAGGGAGAGAGAGAGAGAAAGCTTCTCCCAATAGAGCATGATCACATGGCCTCTATTTCTCTGTCCTGTCAGGATTTTAGGAATAGGCACATGCGTCCAGCATTTTCCATCAAGCTTCTGGAAGTAGGATTCAATTTGTATGGTTGGCCATGTGGGATCTGGTTCCCTTAACCACTTCGGTTCGGGACCAACCCTGTATTTTTCTTACTGAAAATGTTTACAGATCTTCAGGCAAATCAATGAGTTAAAAAATAAGAAAAGAGATTCAGGGTCTAAACAATATCATAAGTCAGATGGATTTGACAGACGTCTATAGAACTTTTCACCCAAAACCGACAAAATATACATTTTTCTCATCCTACATGGTAACTTCTCAAAGATTGGCCGCATGACAGGGCACAAAACAAACCTTTACAGATTCCAAGGCATAGAAACTATATCCAACATATTTTTCTGACTATGATGGAATTAAGTTTGATATCAATTTCAGAAAATACCCTCAAAAATACACAAATACATGGAAACTAAATAACCTACTCCCAGATGACTTCATAGCTACCAAAGAGATTAAGACTGAAATCAAGTAATTTGTGGAAACAAATGATAATGAGTGTTCAAGTTTCCATAATCTCTAGGACACCGCAAACACAGTTATAAAAGGGAAGCTCATAGCAATTAATGTATGTGAGAAAAAGATGGAAAGGTGTTAAGTGGACAACCTAACCCCATGACTCAAGGAATTGGAAAAACAACAACAACAAAAATCCAAAAAAAAAAAATGCCAGGTGAATAGAAATAATAAAGATTTGAGCAGAAATAAATGAAATGGAAAACAAATGAACTATACAGAAAATAAATGAAAGCAAAAGCTGGTTATTTGAAAAGATAAGGTTGACAAATCATTAGCTAGACAAAATTAAGAAGAGAGAAAGGAAACATAAATTCACAATGAAATTGGCAGTATTACAACAGACATAATAGAAATACCGAACATCAGTAGAGGATACTATGAGCAACTGTACACCAACAAACAAGAAAACATGGATGAAATGGACAAATTCCTGGACACACATAATTTACCAAGATTGACTCAGGAGGACATAGAAAGCCTGAATAGACCCATAACAAGCAATGTGATTGGGTCAGTAATAAATAACCTCCTAACAAAGAAAAGCCAAGATCCTGATGGCTTCACTTCTGAATTCCACAAAACTCTTAAAGAACTGGTAATCTCCATTCTACTCAAATTATTTCTAAAGATCCAACAGGAATAAACCCTCCCAAATTCATGTTATGAAGCCTCCATCACCCTCATTCCCAAAATAGGAAGACAACAGACCAATATCTGATGAATATAGATGCAAAAATTCTAAATAAGATACTAGCAAATCGTATCCAAAGTGGGCAGCATCTCACTCCCTGACCTCAAAATATATTACAAAACTGTGATAATCAAAACAGCATGGTATTGGCACAAAAACA